TATTATCTGCTGGGTTCATGAATATTAATCACGTTGTCAGCGTTCGCTCGAACTGATTTGCTGAAATCAAAACAGGGATGGTAATAGATGAGCGCCAGCCAACGAGAGCTGTTCGCGCATTAGCTCCGCCCACTGCCGAGAAACCATATCTTCTGCTTGTTCTTAAAAGCTGAATAATTCTAAATGAACTCTGTTATTTTGACAGGAAAATACAACAAAGAATGTGGTTTACATGTAGCGCGTCGATTCAGCGTGGTATGCAAGACTCTCGCTCTCTCTCTTTGCATGTGAGAGAAACACAGCGCTATCAGTAAAGCGACGGCGAGTCGTGTGCCTTCACACTAGTTTACGGTATGTCAAATACAGGTGCGCTGCGTGCTACATACTGCGCATCCATTGAGTACATGACATGATCCATTGAGCGCATCCAAATAGTACAGATCGCTTGACGGAGAGCGAAACTCAAGCGCTCAGTCAGCGTGTTTATCGAGTGAAAATCTGTGTTGAACGCCTCTCACACACATACTGGCGTTTAAAATCTAAGAATTTATTAGCGAATGGCTAATGTTAGACATTATTTAGTCACCCAGAGTAAGATTTAGTCGCATTTGCGAGCGATTTACTCGCAATGTAGAGGGTTGCACGATCATACCTCCTGGATCTGGCATAGCCGGCATCCTGTCTGTGTCCTCTCCCTCTCCTCTCACGTTCACTGCTGGAGGAAAACGTCGGTGACCGGCGATGCCGAGGTTTTCTCCCTCTGTCTCTGTCCCGCTCATGATAACGATCTTGGTAGCTGCTGCGGCTGGCCCTCTCCGAGGATGGGTACCGCCTGGAGTGCGGCATCTGCTCAAGGTACAACAAATATATTAAGATAAACAAGAAAATAAAAAAAATACAAGATTTTTTTTAAACAGACATTGGAATATCTTTATTATTTTTAATATATAATATTAATATACATTTTTTATATTTTAAGCAAGATGAGAATCCAACATGCATGCTTGGTTAAAATCTCAATATTTTTTCATTCAGTAGGATGGACTGTTATCTATCTGTCTGTCTGTCTATCGGGTGCAAAAAAATCAAAATACTGAGAAAATCGCCTTTAAAGTTGACCAAATGAAGATCTTAGCAATGCATATTACTAATCAAAAATTGTTGAGTTGAATTACTGAAATAAATGAACATTTCCACGACATTCTAATCTATTGAGATGCACCTGTATACACAACCTAAAAATAGAGGAAGTGAGAATGCAATAGCCTGTGACTTTTAGAATTCACTGACTTTTATATTCTTATAGAAGGGATCCAAAATAATAACTACTTTAAAAAACACTTCTAGTAAGCTTTTCATATGCTGGAAAAAGGTCTATAACACAACCATTTAATATAAACAATAATCAGTAAATAGAGGAAAAAGTCAAACAACTGTTATAGACATACACTATTATTCACCCGGGGACAAGTGTGAAAAGTCCATATGTGGACAGTTTATAGGCAGGTTTAGAACAGGTCTTAAAACACTTGAAGGACAGACTGAACGAAAGGTTAACACAAGGAAATCTGAGATTTTTAATTAATAACAATTTGCTACATTATTTTAATTGTATGGTTAACACACATGTTGTTAGTGCTATGCAATACTGAATATTGAGGAGAGGACCACTCGGGGTCTGCATGGAAAACAAGCCTTTATATTATACATCAAGAATATTACAGGATTTGTATGCATATGTATTATATTAAGGGAAAAAAGTTATACGAGACTAACGTTACAGAAAATGAAATTAGTTAAGAAATGAGAATTAAGATGATCATCTGAATATGAACATGTATTTAAACGCGCTAGAGAACATCTAAAATCTGGAAAGAAAGAAAAACAAACAGAAAGCTGACGGGTTATAATGCAGAAATTCTGCCTCAAACTATATGAAGAGCCAGTTATTCGAGCCAACTTCTATATTTAGCGGAGAAACCGCAGAACAAGCTACAAATAACGTAAGGAAATACAGAGTAGCTCGAAATTAAGGGTAGTGATAAATGTAAGCAGATGTACAGATGTTTATTATATATAATAACAAGAAAAAACAAAATTTTCGCAGAAACGAATGGACAGGCTAACGTAACCAACTAACGTTAGCTGAAGTTGTACACTGTAGGTTTTGCGTTTACACTGTAATAACAGGGAATTCGTATACTAGTCGTCTCTATTCTTATAAAATGTGCGGCAATGTCGCTAAGTTACATGACTTGGAACCGCGAAGTTTAAAAACAGCATATAAATACTATGTTTTTCGAGCTAACTAGCTGCTCTCCGCGTCGACGGCCATTTTGAGATCTTCTAATCTTCAACGGGCCATTTCTCAAATGCTCGTTCGTGTGTAATTCGGCTGAGTGGGGCAAAAAGTGACCGACAGTAAAATAACGTTTTGTAATCACCGTTTTAGCAGCCAGCCCTGTGCGTTTATCCCAAATAAAATCCGTGTTGACGCTTCGCCTCCAAATTTCTTACTCGAGCCCAATTAAACAGTGAAAAAACAACTTCCGGTTCCTCCTCCAACTCCAACGTTCCTTATACGCGCGCGTGCCATCTGCACATCCGACGTAAACAGCGCAATATTTATTCCAAGACGATAATCCGTAAAAATCGCATAACTACAATACCCCCAAAAATGTACACACAAAAAGAAAGCAAAATTGAAATAGACAAACAAGCTTAATATATTTGAAAGGGATTCGTTTTTTTTTACAGTATAAATAATTGTATTAATTTTGTTTTGTCTGATACTACAGTAAGACTAACACAGTATAGACCATTTTATATATTACACATACCATTCGGTCATATAAAAGAAGTTTTATTCCCCCTTCCCCAACGTGATTATTAGTGTCATTCATTCACAGCTTTTCAACCGGCATATTTGACTGATATTAAATGACATACAAGACAAATATTACACAAAACGTAGTTTTTCATATTTGCTAATTTTATTTACATTTATTAAGTGACTATTAACATTTCGTGTAAAGGTTAAAAATAATAAAAACAAACAAAACTAAAAAGCAATGACACAAACTTTAATATAGATCTTATACTTCTCATATTCAATGGGTCATGACTGGAATGCTCTTCCAGAACAGTGCCACAACTATGTTTCTGATGGCTTGGTAAGACTGTTTACAATGATAACACCTCTATTAAAGTTGTAGTGTTTTTTGTTGAAAGCAGTATATCAGAGCAGCCTTCCTGTGCACCGCAAAGAGCCACAGCAGCAGAGCAGAACCTTCCCCTCCACACTGCCAACCTCATAGTTATAATCCCACGTCAACTCCGTACCCGCCTTGATGCGCCTGGTAAAGACAGACGAAAGGAAAAACACAATAAGACAACTTTCTGGATAAAACATTAACATTAACATTAAAAATAGCAAGAGTTTCCAAATAAAATTTGGGTTAACCACTTATTTCTAAGTAAAACTTCAATTTCTGTATTAGAAAATCAAGCTGGTATGAATCAAGGCACTGACTTGCTGGCGAAGAATGCCACCCATGGAAACCGAAGGTCGTGTGTGTCGACAAAGACGTTCTGAACAAACAAATTCGGACTGCAGCTATGCTGTTGAGAAAAGCGGGATTAGTAGTAAAAAAATGCACATAATATTTACAAACTTGTATAATTGTTGACACATCTACAGTGACGAGGCTGAGTTTGGCTTACGTTGATGAAGCGGCCGAGGTTGCCCTGTTGTCTCGCGTCAATGATGTAACAGGTCTCCTCGCTGTTGAACAGTCTGCGGGTGTTCTTGCCAGTTACAGCTGTCCTCGTTTTCTCATTCTTTGCGTCCAAGGTTTCTAGAGGTTTTACTCTTCTCTGGAATGACTTTATGGCAAAGCAACGCTTTGGACCGGAGGTTTCTTCACCTACAGACACAAATTATAGACTGAGCAAATTCAATGAAACACTAAAAACATTAAATGAGGAACAGAAATTGAGAATAGAGAGAATAGAAACTGACCGTCCTCTCTCATTTGTTTGGTCACTTTCTTCTGAGCATCTTTATATGTTTCATGTGGCTTATGGGATAGTTTTCTCTCACCGAAGGACATGTGATTCACTAAACAGGTAAAGAGGACAGGTTAAAAAAAAACATCAGGCAAGTTTGCTACATAATAGAGCCACATGGATAATGCAAAAAAGTTGCCAGATCTCAGCCAAATTAAACCTAAATAGTAATGGTTAAATGATTAAAAAAAAACTACAAAAATAACAAATACACAAAACAAAACATTAAACAAATTACAATAAAAAGAAAATATAAAATTGATTCAAAATAGTAATAAAAACAATAATAGCATAGAAAAAAATACGAACAATGCATCTTACCTTCGGTTTCCTCTTGTTCTGTGTCCAGCTCCATAAGTTCTTCTCTTTCTATGGAAAAAGAAAAAAAAAGAGAGAAGATTTCATAGTTACGCATAGAAATGAAAAGACGTGCAATTGTTTGGCTAATGTCTTCATATGGTCTTATGGTTGAATATTTGAACACACCTTCACCACTGCTGGAGTCTTCTTGGCAGAGAGTGTTTTTCCATAATGGCCCCGTTTTCATTTTAATGGTCTTCTTGTTGGTTTCGACCTCTGTGTCAGAGCAGTACGCCTCGCTTTCATAACCCTCTTTCAGTTTCTCCACACCCTCAATGAAGTCAAGGTTGGCCAAATATTCATTGCCAGACACTGTGTCGTCTTCATTCATTCGGTCTTCGTTTACTATTTTACCTGTTAGGTGATAGATGGAGGTGATGAGAGAGGAATTTTGTTGTGTGCAAAGACCTAACATTTATGTTCACTTACCAGTGAAAACACACACAAAAGTGCCCTTGGCCACATCATCTCTGCAGCGGATGCCCCATCCCTTGTGCTGTGTCATGAAGAGCTCCAGCCGCAGCTGCAGCCCGTGCTGAACCAGCCTGTTGCTGCACATTCTCGGATCACAACGGCACAGAGGGTTACACTCGTACACCCTACAGAGATGGAAGGAAAGAATTTCAATCAGCTTTGTGTCTGAAAATATAAGTGTAACTTGTTTTTGAGGTGAGAAAGCTATACACTACTGTTTAAAAGTTTAGGGTAAGTGAGATTACTTTTTTGAATAAGTTTAATACTTTTATTCAGCAAAGATGCATTCAATTTATCAAAACAGACAGTAAAAACATAAACTGTTACAATTAAATGTTGCTCTTTTGATCTTTCTATCCATCAAAGAATCCTGGGGGGAAAAAATCCTCACGGTTCCCATAAAAATATTAAGCAGCACATCTGTTTTAAACTAGGGCTGCACAATAAATCGCATGCGATATTTAACGCGCATCTTATCAGTAAAGCCGGTTCTGTAATCAGCGGTAAATCTCCATCACGTGCGTGCTTTCACATTGAGCAGCATTAACTACACAGAGCCGTTGTTCACTGAGCAGCTGCGCAAAAAATCGTGCAAATATGAACGTGGTTTTGTGCAGCTCGTCAGTGAACAACGGCTCTGTGTAGTTAATGCTGCTCAATGTGAAAGCACGCACGTGATGGAGATTTACCGCTGATTACAGAACTGGCTTTACTGATAAGATGCGCATTAAATATCGCATGCGATTTATCGTGCAGCCCTATTTTAAACATACTACTAATAAGAAATGTTTCTTGAGCACCAAATCAGCATATTAGAATGATTTCTGAAGGATCATGTGACATGAAGACTGGAGTAATGGAGCTGAAAATTCAGCTTTGCATCACAGAAATAAATTAGATTTTAAAATATCCAAATAAAAAAAGTGTTACTTTAAATAGTAATAATATTTCACAATGCTCATGTTTTTATTGTATTTTTGATCAAATAAATGCAGTCTTGGTGAGCATAAGAGACTTTTAAAACATTTTAGCCACAAACCTGCAGTGATCGGCAGCATATCTAGTTATTTGCTGATCTGGAGCAGATCATGATTAAAATATTTTTTACCATAAAATAATCACTGATGTGTTACATCTGATTTTAGAGAGGCTCCACTGTAACCACACGATAATCAGACAGAGTTTGTTTCTAACCCTGTTGGCAAGGTGGTTGGCAATCTCTTATGTGTGTATCCAGCACTAATATCCACTGGACCTCCACTGCATAGGGACGTAGCCTCAACGGTCAGCTGGTGGCATGCACACTTTGACCTGTCACACATACAAATACAAAATGTTTAATAGCAATTTCCATAATTTAAAAGGAATGTTCCATGTTCAATCCAATTTATGTAATCAAATAATTATAATTTGTTGGCTATCTAAAATCAAAAGGTATATTCAGCCCCCTAATTCATTATTTCCAAGCCAAAAAACATTTTCTGGGAAGTCGAGTTTGTTTCTAACCCTGTTGGCAAGGTGGTTGGCAATCTCTTATGTGTGTATCCAGCACTAATATCCACTGGACCTCCACTGCATAGGGACGTAGCCTCAACGGTCAGCTGGTGGCATGCACACTTTGACCTGTCACACATACAAATACAAAATGTTTAATAGCAATTTCCATAATTTAAAAGGAATGTTCCATGTTCAATCCAATTTATGTAATCAAATAATTATAATTTGTTGGCAATCTAAAATCAAAAGGTATATTCAGCCCCCTAATTCATTATTTCCAAGCCAAAAAACATATTTTCTGGGAAGTCATATTTTGGGTATGATCTCAAGAATTATGACTGCCAGTTAGGAATTTGTGGATACAGTACATAAATTAGTTTGTCTAAATGGTAAAAAAAATTTGGAAAATGTTAGAATCTGCATAAAACATTTTACAAACCTTTAAAGGCCACCTACAACAAATAAGCAAAATGTGCAGCAACACACAAACTGAATGATGACTCACGAGTCTAAAATAACTTCTGAAGTAAAGGACAACATGCCAAGATAAACAGCTGTAAATAAACCTTGACCTGTACAAAACCCGGAAAATTCCTTTAATTTCACAAGTTTTCACCCACAAATGCGGACTTAAAAAACTGTACCTGTCCTGACAGCCATCTGTGCAGTCACAGCCGATCAAAAAATCTGGGCTTGTATTGACTGAAACACCCGGAGCTGGAACTCTGTCTTTGGTGTAACTGATGTTAGGAGCAAGCGTATTGTCCACTTCATTAATGCAGGGCACCGGCAACACCTCTCTGCCCTCTGATATGTCCGGCAGGTAGAGGTGAGGCTTGCCGGTTGATGTGGAAGGAGGTCGGGAGCGATTCACAAGAACAAATGGGTCCATACAGAACATCTCCAGGAAAAGGAAGTCACAACGTGTTTCTAACAAGTATTCCTGCACTTCCTGCATGTCGCACAGGCTCCGCCCACACGGAGAACGATAGAAAATGTGGAAAAACACCTAAAGAGAGCAAATAATAAGAAATGTTCCTTGAGCAGCAAATCAGCATATTAGAATGATTTCTGAAAATCACACTGAAGACAAATTCAGATTTGCATCACACGAATATATAACATTTTAAAATATAATTAAATAGAAAATATATAATTCATAGTGCAATAATATTTAACAATATTGCCATTCTTGCTCTTTTTTTTTCTCAAATACATGCAGCCTTGGTGAGCATAAAAGACTTCTTTCAAAAACATTAAAGGGGTCATATGACGATGCTAAAAATAACATTATTTTGTGTACTTAAATAATTGTCCACATACCGCACATTATTGTTGCTACTTTATGCCCCGCTTTTCATCATATGACCCCTTTAAAAAAATCTTAGCGACGCTAAAGTTTTCACCAGTAGTATGCATTGAGAGTAGTTGAACGCCAATTGGAGCAACTTCCTCAAACGCCACCCACCTTTCCATCGATGCGCCTTCTAGCCGTCATTCGCCGAAACTTAAAAAGCAGTGGTACAAGAAGTGGATTTTGACCTTGATGCATGTTGACTTGAGACGGTCTCAGCCCATCCAGACATGCTGGACAACAGCGATGATGCAAGTATATGGACTTGTACTGGTGTTGCATTGAAACACAATCTTCTTCCTCAGAAACACACTCTTCTTCCTCATCAGAGGCAGGTCGTTTTGCACTTCTAGAATATAGAGCCAAATATGACATAGTTGGTGATTAGTATTCCAAATCATTCTGCATTTAAAGAAATAGTTCAGCCAAAAATAAAACTTGGCTGAAAATGGATTCACCCCCAGGCCATCCAAGTGTAAGAGATTTGGAGAAATTTAGCATTACATCACTTGCTCACTAGTGGATCGTCTGCACTGAATGGGTGCCGTCAGAATGAGAGTCCAAACAGCTGATAAAAACATGACAATAATTCACAAGTAATCCACACGACTCCAATCCATCAATTATCGTCTTGTGAAGTAAAAAGCTGTTTTAACCTAAAACCATTACTTCTGGCCAAAATATGTCTACAATCCATAATAACGCTTCCTCCAGTGTCAAAGCCCATCCCCTGTTGTCCTATCACATCAAAATCCACAGACATGTTTATTTAGAACTGCTTTGGACTGTTTTCACTTTAAACAGCACTTGATATGTGCATATTTCTCTCCTGACTCAAACAAGATAACTTTTTCACCAGAGAAAGAAATGTTATGGATAGAGGACTTGTATTTTAGCCGGAAACAACGGTTTGAAGTTACACATCTTAATAAGGTATTTTTCTTACAAACATGCAGCTTTTCACTTCACAAGATAATTGTGGAGTGGTGTTTTTATCAGCTGTTTGGACTCTCAGTCTGACGGCACCCATTCACTGCAGAGGATCCACTGGTGAGCAAGCAATGTAATACTACATTTTTCCAAATATGTTCCCATGAAGAAACAAAATCAATCTACATATTTGGTGGACAGTAAATGTTCAGCAAATTTAAATTTTTGGGTGAACTGTGCCTTTAACTAGGACAAGCCTATTACTCACCTTAAATTTGAGACAGCTCGTACGACAGGTGAAAGCATTGTCAACCTCTGGAGGATGACCTTTGGCTGGAAAGCAGCCGACATGATATTTTGAGGGCTAACAGATGATGTTTTGATGACTGTATCAGATTGTCGGGTGACCCGCACAGGAGATACAGCTGTTGCGGTGACAGTCGTTGAAGTAACAGTCGCTGAGGGAACTGCTGTCGAGGAGGGAGTTGTGCTGTGCTGAGGCGTGGCATTTCCTGCTAAACAACAGAGTTTGGCATGAATTGTATTACATTACAAAAAGAGATAAATAAAAAAAATATGCTGTTCTCCACAATGTAATCACTTTTTTAAATAAAAAGAAACTTGAACATTTAAATAAAATAATACACAAAAAAATGTATAAGGTAAACAAATGTTTCAAGAGATTAAAAGTGCATTTTCTTTTGTTTTGATAACAAAATATTGATTTTTGTCATATTGATAATGAGCATGTTCAATATCCCAATATACTGTATTACGGAATACATGCACGTGTCTATTTGGGAATGTGCATAAAAGAGGCAGGATGTGCATGAAACACAAAGTCTACCTGATATAGCAGGCTGTTGCGTTTTCTGTTGAGATGGCTGTTGTGGTTTCTGTTGAACAGCTTGTTGCGCTTTCTGTTGAGGTTGTTGTTGCTGCGCTTTCTGTTGAGACGGTTGTTGTGGTTTATGTTGTGTTTTCTGTAGAGGTTTTTTCTGCGGTTTATCTTTAGCCAGACGTTGCTTGATATTTACAATGTGCTCCAACCTGTCTGAGCCTTTATAAATCCACTCTTTCTGCTTGTCTTTCTGAAAAACAACAACAACACCACCACATTTATCAGCATCGAAATGGCCAATCTGTCAGTGGGGTTAAGTGAATTTGACAGTGGGAAAACTTATGAATTGCACTTCAGAATATGAAATGCTGTGACGTTCCCATGAAGTACCCCTTTGTCTTTCATTTTCCTTAGTGTAAAGACATTAAATTGTAAAATGCAGATGATAGATGAGTACCAGGTTCACAAAGAAATCTAGCGTCCCACAATGGATTCATTTTCACCTTAAAGCAGATCTGGATCAGGCTGCCATCCAATTGGAGAACCGTGCAGGTCTCAAACTTGCCATTCCGTATCGCCTTAGTGTCTTGCCCCGCGCGAAGCACCACAGCAATGGGGTTGGGATAGACACGAAGATATTCCTTCACCTGTAACTGCAATTTCTCATCCTCAATGTCCTTCCACACCTTTTTCACTGCAAAGAAAAAAAAAAGTTAACAAAATTCTCTTTTAGCAGGCAAGTGATTATATGGGGTCTTAAAATAACTGACTGAAATGGAGTAATAAATGAATTTCTCACATTGTTTGCAGACAATATGAAGGTCTGGAAGTGCCAGGTAAGCTGCATGACCATCATCAAAAAACACCAAGAACCTAATAGAAACATTTAACCAAATGAATTTAGATGTTTTATTAAAGTCATATACAAGACTAAAATAAAGACAATGAGACACTGGATAAATACTAATATTGAAAATAGAAAACAAAACAAAATAACCTGGACATTATGCTAAATATTTCCTGTTATGTTCTATGAAAGAACAAAACAAAAAAAACGATTATGAATGGCCTGAGGATAAGAGAACTATCCCTTGAACATAAATTCACCTCATGCGATTCTTGCGCTCAGGAAGCTCGACCAATACGGCAGCATTAAACGAGGCCTTTCCTTCATCATCTATGCTGCTGGCCACAACACGACAGCCAATAAACAAATCCTTAAGTATGGGAGGCTGCAGAGAGGCCACCTGATAAGCAGGCAGCACAATCTCTTTACCACTTTTAGACTCCACCTTATATCTGAGGCCATCCTCTAAAAGGAAAGAAAGATGAGACGGGTCACAAATGCAACCAAATCTATTAGATTTCCAACCTTCATTTTAAAGTTTTGTGAATTTACAGAATAGGTCAGTCTTACCTTCTGTTTGGACTTCTTGTACTGTTCCTTTACGCCACAAGTTGTGTGCCCTTTTCCCCAAAACTACCATGCCAACTTTAAGTTTTATCTCTTTATGTTCTTGTTGCTTGGAGGACTCACTGGATGAAGACTTGTAGCCTAAGAAGATCAGTGACAGAGGACAAATACGGTTGCTGTATGTAATCAGTAATGTATAATCACAATACACTTATTTGTATCGGACATTCAACTGCACAATGTTCCAAATATTAATCAAATATTAGTATTATATACACACACAACTGTTTTAAAGTTTGGATTCGGTAATTTTTTTTTATGTTACTGAAAGCCTTGGTGAGTCTCTTATGCTCACCAAGACTGCATTTATTTGATCAAAATAGAGTAAGAACAGTAATATTCAATCTTCAGTGTCACATGATCTAGCAGAAATCATTCTAATATGCTGATTTGCTGCTCAAGAAACATTTGTTATTTTTAGCAATGTTGAAAAGAGTTGTGCTGCTTCATATTTGTGTGATTTTTTTTTTCAGGATTACTTGATGAATAGCAAAAGAACAGCGTTTATTTGAAACAGAAATATTTTGTAACAATGTCACTTTTGATCATTTTAATGCATCCTTGCTAAATGAATGCATTGATTTCTTAATAAAAATGTAATGACCCCCAAAAAATTTAACAGTTGTGTATTTCTTTATTGAAATGTATGACAGAAACCATAATGTAAGAATATTCATAACGGATTACTTGATACATCTGTTACACATTATGTAAAGCATATATATATAGTTAACATACTATATTAACTATTAATATACCGTGATATGAACTGTATAAATAAAAAATAAAGCTTACTTCCGTCAGGACTGGAAGGTTCTGCAGAAGCATCACTGCTGCTGGCATCATCAGTATTATCGACAGATGACTGTGATTGTGATTTAGGGGGTCCATAATCACCGTCTCTCGATGACTCTGATTGTGATTTAGGGGGTCCATAATCACTGTCTCTCGATGACTCCGATTGTGATTTGGGGGGTTCAAAATCATTGTTTCTTGATGACTCTGATTGTGATTTTGGGGGTTCAAAATCATTGTTTCTCGATGACTCTGATTGTGATTTAGGGGGTTCAAAATCACCGTTTCTCGATGACTTTGATTGTGATTTAGGGGGTTCATAATCACTGTCTGACGATGACTCGGACTCAGGGGGTTCATAATCACTGTCAGCAGGACTAACAGAGAGGTCCTCGGTGTCAGAGAGTTCATCATTACTATCGGCAGGCGTTTGCCCTCTTGTTGCTTCCGTTTGCGGGCTGGAAGTGCTGCTGACAGGCGCATTGTTTTTTGAAGATCTCAGCCTAGTCGTTGGACTTGTCTCCGTTACAGAGGGTTTGTCAGATTTGCTCCTTGGTTTTGGCTGTTCGGTCTCATCTGTGGAATCCGAATCATGGCTGGCATTAGTTTCAGCTTCTTCGGAATTGCTCAGCAATGATGCCAATTCAGGAGGAGTCTCTGTGGTCGACTCCGGCTCAGTCTGGTTTGTTTCTACGTTTGCTGTATTTTCACTGGCAGCAGTTTCCATTTGTTTTGAACTGCTTGAAGGTGAAGACATTTCTGAAGGTGTCACTAGTGGCACTTGAGGATCAGTCTTCTTTGATGCTACAGATGCTGAATAAGGACAGGCACTAGTTTTCAGAATTTCATAAGTCATTGCCGGCAACGTACGTTCAGTGTTACTTGTTGCTTCATGATCTGAACGAAGACTGCTTGACTTTTCTGAATCACGTTCAAGCAAAGACATTTCAGGAGTTAATGCTCTCAGCTGAGGTTCAGTCTTAATTGATGCAATGGATGCAATTTTGAAAGGTTTTGAAGTGCTTGGAGGCGAAGTCATTTCTGACTTTATCACCGTCGACTGAGGCTCGGTCTTTATTGTTGCTATGGATCCAAAATGAGGACTGGCAAAGGTTTCTGGTGTTTCTGAAGGACTCACTGCTGTCAACTGAGGTTCAGTCTTAATTAATTTTAAGGATGGAGAGTTAAGAGTAGCAGAAGTTTCATGTTGTTTTGAAATGCTCATTTCCCAAGGGGTTAATGCTGTCAGTTGTGGTTCAGTCTTAATTGTTGGTTTAGAATCTGACTTATAACCGGCAATAGGTTTGTATTGTTCTGAATTGCTGAGAAGTGAGGGCATTTCAGGTACTTTCGGTAGAGATTCGGTCTTAACTTTTGCAATAGGGTTTTCAGGTACTTCCAGCTTTGGTGTGACAGATTCAGAACGGCTGGTCTCAAAGGTCGAGGCTGACGAGGGTCTGTTAGAGACGTCAGATGATGATGATGGTGATGCAGCACTCATGGAGGAAGTTTTGTTTACCATCTGGACTAAATCCTGAACGAGTCTGGACGACTTCTGAATGGCCACTGTCACCTTTTCAAGCTAAAAGAAAAGAATGAATCAAGACAAAAACACAGGGGAAAAAAAAAACAGAAATAATGAAAAACAGGCCAAAACCCAGAAACAAAGACACAAAGAAACAAAGACAGAAAGAAAATTTGTAAATAAGACAAAATAATTAAATGTATAAATCAAAGAAAAATGATGAAAAAATAAGGAAAAAGAAATAAAAATGAAAAACACAATGAAAAATAAGCACAAAATAACCTATCAGTATGTGACACACCAATTTTTCAGTTAACATCCTCACCATTGGTTCCAAGGTTTCTTTGGTGGCTGCAAGAGAAAAAACAAAAGTGGTATTAGATTTTTAATTCCAACACCATAATTTACAATATTTATATTTCCAAGCACTTTCCATTAAAATGTATGTCACTTACCTCCCAGATCAATGACAACAATATCGTCATCATCTCCATTTAACACACTATTTTCCTGCTTATCCTCCTCGTCATCTGTAATATGAATGACGTCCTGTGGTTCTCTTCCTCCTCCTCCTTCCTCCTCCGAATCTTCATCTCGGTATTCCAGTCCCAGCATTCCATAAAGACCCTTCATCACTGACTCGCACTCATGGACTGACCTGTTAGACACGAAACACAGTCAAATGGCCATTGTGATTTGGAGATACTGTCATCAGGCATTAAAAAACACAACAACTCACTCGCAGGCATTGCTGTACAGAAGGTGGGTGTAAGTGGCTTCCCTCTCCTTCTGCTTCACCCAGTCCTCCACCTGCGCCAGTTGTTCACGTCTCTGCATCAGATGAGGGTTTCGGTCCACCTCTGCCTGGATCCAGCGCTGCAGGTCATCCTTTGTCATTCTCAGGAGGTTATCATCATCTTTTCTGCTACTCATGGCTTTACTGTTGGAGCAACATATTGAAAAAGTTCAATTGTTAGTAACTGCACAAGATTTGCTCATAGTATATCACTCTCATTCTGACGGCACCCATACACTACAGGGAATCCATTGGTGAGCAAGTGATGTGATGAAATAAACTCATCTACATCTGACATTTTCAAGAGATTTTCATTTTTTGGGTGAACTAATATGGATTTGACTTCATATCTAAGAAATGAAGCTCTATTCTGTTTTTGTTGTTTAAATATTTGTAAAACATCTGTAATGTACAGAATATATTAAAGGGTTAGTTCACCCAACAATTCTGTCATTAATTACTCACCCTCATGTCGTTTCAAACCCGTTAGACCTTCGTTTATCTTCGGAACACAAATTAAGATATCACTCTTGGTATCACTCTCCAAAATGGCGCTACAGGGTGATGCGGAGGAGACGAATTGTTGAATAAAGTCGTTTTTTTTTTCTTTT